ACAAACACACACATCCCTACCAAAGAAGAAGAAAAAAAAAAAAATAATAAATGGAGGGAGGATTAGAGGTGAAAACAAGCGAAAAAAAGCAAAACAAAACAAAACAAAGAAGAATGCCTTTCTTTTTTCTCTCTCTTACTTTCTCTCTGTGTGTGTGTGTGTGTGTTGTGCCTCACTTGTGTGATGAAAGGGCGAAAGAGAAAAAAGAGAAGATATGTGGCTTCTGACTCAAAAAGGGGGAAAGTAACGGAACACACACACTCACCCTTCTTTTCTTTTCTTTTCTTTTCTTTTCTTTTTTTTTTTTTTGTGTGTGTCTTTGCGGTAATTCACATCTTTCAATTGATGTTGGGTTTCTTTATCCTTCTCTCTCTCTCTCTCTCTCTCTTTTTTTTTTTTTTTCTTTTTTCCCTCCCTCCTTATCAAATTCTACCGTCCCTCTTGTTATCATCGTCATCGTCATTGACGTTCCGTATGAACCACAACCACAACAAAAAGGGAGGCGGTTGCTGCTTCTATAAAATGATGCGGTGGGTTCCGCTAGAGTTGGACCGCTCGTCGGAGATTGGCTTCCAGGTTGATACTGTTATCGACACCTATAATTCTCTTCAGCGACAATTAATAAGGCGGGAGACTTCTGATTCTTTGCAAATCAAAAAGGCACTTGAGGTACTTCGACATTCTTTTGCGAATCGGCTTGAAGAAATGACAATTTTCTATCAAGAAAATGACCTTGATCCACGTAGCGGTGAAGTGGAGGCAGCACGTCTCAAATTGAAACGCTTTTTACATTCTGTAGAATCTTCCTATGCAGAAAGAGACTTGAAAACAGAAGCGTTTATGTTACCATTATCACCCGAACATAAAATGACGAAGCCCACTGATAAAAATCATGGTAAGGAGATCATAGAAGCAAGAAAAGGGGAGGAAGAAGCGGGTTCTGACATGGTAACGCTCCGTGTTGTCCTTACAGAGGAGGAGTATCAAGAGATTCTTGCTCGGCGTGAGGCTGTTCGCCAATTAAAGTTGAATGCCATGCTATACAAGCAATGATTTGCAGTTGTTGTTTTTTTTTTTTTTTTTTTTTTTGGCTTCCAAATGGATGATACCTTGACTAACTGCGTTTTCTGTAAGTGAAAGGGTTCTGCTGTGAAGATTTTCTTTCGTGTGCATGTTTCTGGTTTCTGCTTTCCCAAATTCTTGCCTTCTTTTTTTTTTTTTTTTTGTATTTTTTTCTAAAATACAAATAAACATACAATCCAAACAACGACCTTTTTATTTATTTATTTATTTTTCTTGTTGTTTTCTCTGCTTACATGTATCTATGTTTGTGTAATGTGTCCTAAAGTATTGTTGCTTTTTCTGCGTCTGTGTGGTGTCACTTGAGCCATGATCGACACCTTGTCGATTATCAGCAATGGGGGTATTGTCTTGTGGGAGCAGAGTTCGGACAGCTCTGGAAGACGTTTGATGGTGAACCGTGTTATTCAGGAGGTTCTTCTTGAGGATCGTGCAGGTGTGCCGGAGCTGGTGATCGGTGACTACAAGGTCTGTTGGGCTCTGGAAAATGACGCTCAATTTTTTGTAATGTGTGTCTACCCAAAGTTTCTCCCTTATCTCCATATGGGCGCCTTCTTGCGTGGTATTGTGAGGACCTTTGCGAAGAAGTATGGCCGGATTCAGGACAGTTTATTTGACGAATATGACTTTTCGGCGGAGTTTGCAGAGGCCCTGTCAACCTTAGACGCCGGTGGCGGCGGCGGCGGGCCCGGTGTGGCTGCTGCGGAGGAAGTTGCCGACAGCGGCAGCGGCGGCAGTGAAGAAGGCGAGGCAGCGCAAGAAGCCGAAGGGGAGGAGGGTGACGAGGAAAAGGTGGTGCAGCGAGGTGGCGACAGAATTGTTACTAAGAGCGGGCAAATCATTGGACGTAAGGGAAATAAAATGACAGTTGGCGGCAAGCCAGCAGCTTCAACAAAGGTCACAAAAAAAGGTAAACCATTGAAGAAGGCGACCCGCTGGGATGAACCCTCATTTGACCCTGCCGTCAACGACCAGCGGCAGCAGAGGGCTCCCACGCAGGAAGAGTTGGAGGCGCAGGCGGAGGCCCAACGTGCCTCGTTTATTAAACGGTTGCCAAACGGGAATGTCGCACCTGTGCGAGAAAAGGAGTGGGAAAACCAGCCACGTGGGCGCTTAGCTAACTGGTTACGCTTGTATGTCGGGCGACGGGAGTTGGACAGCCAGGATTTTCAACGAGTTATTCCCTGCTTGCGTGAAAAGCTGATTGCCAAAAATGTCGCTGTTGAGGTGGCGGAGCATGTTTGTAAGTCCGTAGAAACTTCATTGGAGGGAATGAAACTCGGCACATTTGATTCTCTTCACCAGTGCATTGAGAAGGCCATGACTTCGGCACTTCACCGTATCTTGCAGCCCAAGCATGAGGTTAATATTTTACGTGCCGTGGCGTCGGCTCAGTCCCGGAAAAAACCGTATTCTATAGTTCTTTGTGGTGTGAACGGTGTGGGCAAGTCCACAACACTTGCGAAAATTGCCTATTGGCTCCAGCAGAACGATCACAGTATTATGATCGCCGCAGGTGATACGTTCCGGCACGGGGCTGTAGAGCAGTTGGAGGTACACGGCCGCTGCTTGGGCGTGCCGGTGTTTCAAATGGGTTACGGGACCGACCCCTCAGCGGTTGCAGCAGCAGCCATTGCACAGGCCACCCGTCAGCAGTACGATGTGGTTATGATTGATACAGCAGGTAGGATGCAGGATCACGAATCACGCATGCGAGCACTCGCGAAACTTATTCACGACAATCAACCTGACCTGGTTCTCTTTGTGGGCGAGGCCTTGGTGGGAAATAGCGGAGTGGACCAACTTCGTAGGTTTAACCAGTGCCTAGTTGATTTCTCTCCTGTCGGGACAGTTCCACGCGGTATTGATGGAATTGTTCTCACAAAGTTTGATACCATTGACGATAAAGTTGGTGCGGCGCTCTCGATGGTTTATGAACTTGGCCAGCCAATTGTATTTGTTGGTTCTGGCCAGACCTATCAGGACCTAAAAGTCATGCAACCGGATGTTGTTGTCAGCGCATTAATGGAGTAGCAACGCAAAAGAAAAATTGCCTCTGGGCCAGCCCGTTTATCACAAAGGTGCGAAGGAAATATATAATTTTATATTTATTTATGTATGTGCGTCTGTTTTTCCTCGCACTTTTTTTTGTTTTTGTTTTTTGGATGGGTAATAGGGGAGTGGAGCGGATTCATTTTCATTTCCTTTTTGAAATCTTGTTCTTTGTGTTGTTGCTTTTCTTTCTTTTTTTTTTTTTTTTTTTTTTCACTTTAGTGTCATGTATGTACCTGCAAGCTGTGCATGTAATGTGTAACTCGGTGCATTTCCTTTTTTTTTTTTCTTCCCTCTTTCTCACCCTATACATATATGTATGTATATTTACTTCCCATGTTCACATTCTGGTGTGCACTGCAGGCAATTTGACGGGTTTAGGAAGTGGAAGAAAAAAAAGCTCCACCCAAAATCACCTCAAGAAAAAGGGAACAGAAACAAAACAAAAAACAAAAACAACAACAACAAAAAAAAAAAAAAAAAAAAGGCAACTGAAGAAGTGAAGCGTTGTATTTGATAGGCATGCTCCCGTCGTCGTTGTGCTCCTTGACTCGGCAAATGGGATGTGCCACAGGGTCTTCGACGGATTCATTGCGTTACTATTACGAGGACGGCAGAGGGAATAAAGTGTGGGTGCAAAATCTCACGTTAGACTATGATGCACGGCGATTGGAGTGTAAATCTCGTAGAAATGGCGGCTTAAAGGATATTTATAAAGATCCCTGCGGTACATTTAATCCCCCACTGCACAAGCGGCCTTTGTTGCGTCACAAAACGTCACCCGCTAGAAAAGTGGCTTCGTTGTGTGGCCGAGTTGTGTTTGCCTCCGCGAACACTCAACGTGTGAAGAGGAAAAGTTTTCTCCGACGAGCTGAAACCTCTGCCATACGGTGCACATGTTCCTGCCCCATCCATTCTGGGTTGGCCAGAGAGCCTGCCGACCCCTATTTCAAGTGGAACGAGGGCCTGAATTGGACGTTCCTCCCGGAAACATCATTTAAAAGGGTGATTCGTACTGTTGACGATGCAGAGTTTCTCCTGGAGAAGCTACGAAGCGAGGAACATATCCTCCGAAAGGCTTATGTGCGGTAGGGAAAGGAATTGGGACGTTTTTGTCGCCATTTTTTTTTTTTCTCTTGCCATTTGAATATCCTCTTTGCTTTTATGTGTGTCTTTTTACGGTTCCAGACGAGCCTTTTTTTTTTCTTTTATTTGTTGGCCAACTGTTAACGCGTTAGTTAACGTGTCGAGTTTACTGCCTGCGTGCGTGTGCATTTTACCCCTTTGTTTTTCTTTGTTTTCATTGTGTGCTTGTGATCCCGCAAATTATCTCGGTTATTAGGTAACAGTTTCCCGTGTGAGGAATGTGGAGGCGGGTTTTCCTTCGCCGCCGTCAGGGAGGAAGAATGACGGTGATGATGGCGCCGACGGCGGTGTTGTTGGGGGGCGGCATGCGTCTCCCGCAGGACGACGGCATAAGCGAAGGGCTGCTCGGTTTCACCGAGTACGGCGGGTCCATATCGGCCTTCATGAAGCCTGCAGGCGAGCGGCAGGCGGCACATGATGACAAGAGTGAGGGGACTTCTCTCCCCTGCGGCAAGGAGGGCCCATTCATCCAAAACATCAAGGCACAACACATGGCGGACATTGCTCTCGGAGGAAAGTTGCCCTCCCCGCGTGAGTTTCAGGTGGGGCCGATAATGCGGAATGAAGAGCCACAGCCGTCATTGCAGAGTCCCACGACGAAATCCTCGTCATCTCTCCCGCGAAGAATTTCCACGCCACCAAGGAACATGAAAGACAAGAAGGCTTCTGCTGCGCCAACGGGGCAGGCCGGGACACCGGTGGGAGCAACAGCGGCGGAGGGAGGTGCAAGTGCCAAGGAAGAGCTGCGCGCGAGGGAGGCGGAGGATTATTATCGATCTGTTCCACGTAACGCTCTCTCAAAAGAAGAGATGTGGAAGCGGATCACTGCCGCGAGTGCAGATAAGGCGGAGCGTTTCTCTTCCGCGCTTCAGGCCTCGGAGGTGGACTATTTGAAAATGGAGGAGGATCTGAAGGAGAACGATCTCTTTCACTATCGCATGGGGGAACTTGCCTACCCGGATGCCGACATCCGGCGAAATTACTACGCCATGTGGCAACTGGCCACTTCACTCAACAAGGCTCGTTGGACGATGTTAGATGTAATTTCACAGCGTGGTGTCAAAACCACCGGGGCAGGCATGAAGCTTTTGTTTTGGAAGGAGTCTGTGAACCAAATTGTGGAGAAACGACAAATGGCGGCAGGCCAGTTTACAGATTCTCACCCAGTGCTGCGACCGTTCGCAGCCGTTGTAGAGCAGAACCCGCACTTGACCAAGGCATTTATACGAGGTTTCACAGACGCAAGGCTTCGTGTGCTTCAGCAGCCGGGGAACATGAAACAACTATTTGACCATTTTGATCGATACTACGGTTACTTTTTTAACTCTCTGTTGGAAGTGACACATGTGAAAGATTCAACTGCAGAGCACATGTTGCAGCATATTGGTCGAGCCATAGGGCTTACACAACACTGTGTGATGCTTTGGAAAAAATACGCCAATATTGGCTTTACGATGTTGCCTGCAGATCTCTGCGCGGATAACCACGTGAATATTGCGCTACTAAAAAACATTTCTTTGGCGTCGAGAGACCGGGCAGTGCGCAAACTTTTATACGATGTGATGTGTATTACCAAAATGGAAATGTTACATGCAAAACAGTTGGCTCCTTCATGTTCACCAACCGCGTGGCCCGTGGTGATGGAGTGCGTGTACGCGAATTACTACTTGGGGTTTCTGCAACGCCGTGACTTTAACGTGAGTGCAATGTTTGCGGACCACAACATTGAAAACGCCGGGTTCGCGTGGTACCGTGTCAAGAAGCGCTGGGAGTGGGAGAGGCATCGGAGCATCGAGCGTCTCGTTGCGGAGGAAGCACCGCTGCCCTTCATTGGCATCTCTCTGGGCCACCGTGGCTCAAGTTACAAGATGGCCTCTGGCATTGGGCGAAACCGCTAGAAACGGCGAAGAGGAGAAGACCTTTTCACTCTTTCCTCTTTGGTACATTTATTTTTTCTTTTCCCTGTTTTATTGTTGTCTCGATGATGTGTTTCTCAGCGGGTTTGAGGGAATGGTCACGCTTCTATCCCTAAAAAAGAATAAATGAATCTTCTTCTATCCAGGAGCGAATTTTATTTACTTTTTCTCTTTTCTTCTCCCGTCTCGATGCACTTCTATTATTATTATTATTTTTTTTTTTGGTGGTGCTACTGCGTGCGAGGAAGAGAAGGACAGAGCAAACAGAAAAGGAGGATAGGCGACAAAAACCGAGGAGCAGGAGTGCGATCAGTGGCGTGGGGGCAAGGGGGAGTAAACTGTGTGTTTGTGTGTGTGTGTCGTGGTTACGATTACGTCGATGGCCAGTTACTCTAGCGGGAAAGAGCAGGCGTTCAAACGTCTCCTTCGTGCCACGGGCGTGAATCCAGGAAATGCGTTTTTCCCCTCCCGTTGTTGCAACCGTGCATGTGGAGGAGAGTTGAATGTTGCCGATGCGTGGTGCAACTACTCGGTGAGTTCTCGTGAAACTCTGGCGACATGTGAGGTGGAGACGGCGCACCACTTTGGGCCACACTCTCCTGCACTTCTCTGTGTGAGGGTTCGTCCTGCGACGCCAGGGCGTGCGTTCCCTACTTCTTGTGTCATCAGCCTTTCGACAAGCTCGCAGCGGATGGATGAGCTCGCCATTCAGGATGTCGTCTTGAAGGAATGGCGGATGGACCCTGTTAGGCATCTGGACGCCGAGCTGATGGAAACGACAATTGCCGTGAAGACCATCTACCACATCGCCTCTCTTCTAGGCAAGGAACCCATCTTTGGAACGCGTGTATTTCTGACATTCCGTTTTCTCGGATGCTGCGACACGTCGAATACACACCGCATTGCTGCTGTGGAGCTGTTCTACACGTCGCTGCGACCACTTGGAGCGATGACGGCGTCACCGCATGCCCTACACGACGAGAACACTTTCGCCCCCGTGGAGGTGGAGCTAACACTCAGTCCTACGCCTCTCCAAATGGGGTCCGAGTTCTCTGACGAGAGAGCCTCGACCAGGTTTTCATCCTACTCACCCTTAAACGTGAGGCATCCCGTGAAGAGGATATTTGTGGTTGACACAAACAAGTCGGCCGTCGTCGAGGATGTTGTGCCGCCGCCACCGACACCGCCATCAGTCCGAGCCCAACGCGGTGCATTTATTACCGCCGGCGGTGTTGCCAATGACCAAGCAGAGGATGGAGGTGGCTCTCATGCGAGCAGCGAGGATTCTCTTTTGACAGCCTACCGCCTGCAGAGCACGTCCAGCTCGCCGCGACGTCGATCTGTTACGCAGCCCTGTCGCACCATTTTTGTAGACATTGATAAAGAAGAAGAAGAGAGTGAGGCGTCGGATGAATTTATCGAGGTGCCAACATCTCCTTGCACGACACTTTCCACATCTTTTCATCGGAGTGGTGGACTTTTTAAATCGTCGCAGAGGCCGGTCACTGATGCAACTGTTACTCCTCCTTCACCTGTGTTGTCCGTGTCACTCAGTCGTTTGTACCGTGATGAAGACAACGCGCCTAAAAGGGAAGCTCCTACAATACCACATTCCACAAATTTTGAAGAAGGTCTCTCTTTCCAGCTTCTACGCGAGTGCCAGCATCGCGATGTAAACATGAGGAATCCGGATTGCGTACCGGTTGCAGTTAAAGAGTTAGTCGCACCACATTGCCGCGCCGCTTTTGTCGTACCGGACCGACGAGACTTTGTCCCCGTGAGTCTTCTGCAGCAGCAAAAACAACAGGCGGGCCAGCGAAATTCTTACACGCGGGTTGTTCCCATGCCTTGGGGAGAGCGAGACACATCGCCTGCCCTTGCGTGTTATGGCATTAAAGGAAATATGGCTGCGGTGGCAAAAAACAGGAAGTGCATCCGGAATTTGCAGACTGTCCCTGTCTATGAAGAAGAGCACGATCTGCTGAAGACTGTTACTGATCTTCTTGGGCTGGAGCGTGAAACTCTGTGCCGGGGATCATCGTCACGCTGTAACTCCACTACAACTGGTCGACTCTTACCGACGCAATCTAACGCCTGTTCACGGCAGCTAAGTCCTTCACCGCGATGCGGCAAAGGGTCAATGGAGGAGGCGACGCAAAAAATCGACTCTCTAAAGGTCATGGAGCCGACCCCTGCAGAGAAGGAAAACGCAGCTGTACCAGTCGTGGAAAAATCTCCGATAACTCGAGGGATGTTGCAAACCTCTTCAAGATTTTCAATTAATCCTGCCGCCTCGGTAGCTAATGCCTTGCACGTGGCGCGGCGGAAAGCATTAGCAGCAGAGAAGCCGAAGGTCTTTCAATCACTCCCAAAGGAGGGCTGCACTCAGCCACTTGATTCGTCAGCAGAGGAAAAGGCGAAACTTGGGAAGCCTGGGGAAGCGTCTTGTACCATGCGGCAGCCATTGGCAGATCGCACTTCGGATCTTAATCTCTGTCGAAAGGAAGAGAAGGCTGCAGCGAGAGGAGATACACCACGAGAGCCACAACCTCTACTGGATTCCAAACTTGTTTCCCACGACACAAGTATTCCATCGTCGGAAGAGTCAGATGAGCCTTCTCTTCTTGTTCAGGTGGAGCATCCAGCCTTACCCCGCCCAGTAATGTGCTGGGGGGGTAGTATAGGCATTGACCCTTGTGAGGGCACAACAGAATTGGCCGTCACGAGTCCATACATTGGCACATTTCTTGTTTGGAAACACCATTTCTCCCGAAATGGAACGGCGAAGCGAATACTTACCTTGTTACGTGAGGGGGATGCCGTGGTGGTTACTCTTAAGAAATTGGATCAACGGAAAAAAATATCACAGACGACCTTGCGAGAGAAAGTTGATGTCATCACCGGCCTTCAAGCATATCATAGCAATGCCATTCACAAGGATCACGTTCACGTGGCAGAGTGTTGTTTGGTGGTGACCCGCGGCGGGCAGCAGGTGGCGGCTGTTGAGATGCAGTCTATAAGCGAGTTGCGTCTGGCTGTCCAGATTCTGGTTTCCGCTTCTAAACAAGGTTCTACTTGATTTCTTGGCGCCTCTACAGGATGAAAGGGTTTTCACGATGGAAATCACACTCTTAGATGGTAGAGTTGTAGATTAGATTTAAAACAGTTATATATTTTTTAAAATCCTTTTTAGTGGTTGCCTCTCTGCTGCATTCAGCGTTGCTTACGGCTCCACTCCTCAAATGATGTATACATAAATACATGTGTTTCTTTGTTTACGTGGAAGACTCTTTTTTCCACCACTGTAGTCTGAGAAAAGGGTGGAGTGATGTCTACACATGATGCCTGACTGGCTTTCCATCTTTCCTTTTTTTTACTTTTTCCCTTTTGAACTTCCTAATTGCTTGAACTCCGCCTCGTTGCCGAGGTGGTACCGCACGCCTACAGGCAAGATGAATGACCAGAGCCCCACGGTGGCTCCCTTCAAGTATGTTCTCATCCCATCGGATGACGCCGAAATGCCCGTCGAGATGACATTTTCCGGCGGTAGCGACGAGGAACTTCGCGCATCCATTCAGCAGTATTTCCGCCGGCAACTCCTCTCTCGGGAACAACGGACTGAAATGGCGAAACACCTCACGGAAAAGGCGAAGGAGGGTGAGAAGCAGGAGGAGGGCGGAGCAGCGGCTTCAAGTGTTCAGCAAAGCGCCATGATCGAGGATTACCTTGAGCAGACATCCTTTGAGATTGTCCCGCTTCTCATGCCAGGGAGGGACAATAAATTCATTGGCACGTCCCTCTACATTGATGACAGCGGCCGCTTTAAGGACCTTGCCCTGAACTCCCGTGCGAGCAAAATTGCCCAGCGAGACATTCGTGGGGATGCCTTCCTTTTGTGCAACCACGACGATCCCGCGCTTGACGAGTGGAGCCGCGTGGACTGTACTCTCACTCACTATGAAACCCTTCTAAAGAATCCCCCCATGACAAATTATGACACTTCTAATCGGACTCAGATGGCGTCCGCGGCGATGTTGCGAGAGAGTGACACGAAACGTATCAGCGAGGAGGATGCTATTAAAGCCAAAAAGGCGAAGGAAGATGGCAACGCCTTTTTTTCCGCAGGCGATTTCAAGGCAGCAGCTCTGGCTTACTCAGAATCCATAGACCTCACGGAGGGCCGCAGGGATCTTTTGCCGAACGGTGCGGAAGTCACTGCCTTGCGTTTGTCCGCGCTTCTTAACCGCAGTATTTGCCTTCACCGCATTGGAAAAAACGATGACGCCGCAAAGGACGCACGAGCCGTCATTCATCTAGACGGGGCAAATATTAAGGCCCACCATCGACTGGCCGTTGCTTTATGCGGAAGTCGAGATTACGACGCAGCCACGGAGGCACTGAATGCATTTGAGCGCCTTGGCGGGCCAGCCAGCGACGCTGCTGCCGTTCGTCACGCCATAGGTGAGGGGGTAAAGGCACTCCAAAAGGAACAAAAGCAGAAATATTCAAAACTATTCGTCTAAGTGCAAAAACAACAACAACAACAAAAAAACAAACAAACGATGTACCACTTTCAAGGCACGGCATACCATAATTATTTCTAACTGAAATCGAGAGAAACAGGAAGAAAGGCCAATAAAGAATACGTAAATCATAGGTACATGTAATTTTCAACTTTAAAAATCACTACTTCATCAAAAGCCAACTGCTTCTCTTTTTATTTTTTATTTTTTCCTCTCAGTCAAGACAAAAACTACAAAAAAAAAAGGAAAGGAACCAATGGCGTTTAGGAAATCTTCTAGGAACCCAATAAAAAGCAAATGGTAAGCAAATCTTCGTGAAGACACTGACGGGCAAGACGATAGCGCTCGAAGTGGTTTCCAGCGACACCATTGAGAACGTGAAGGCGAAGATCCAGGACAAGGAGGGCATTCCGCCGGACCAGCAGCGCCTGATCTTCGCTGGCAAGCAGCTGGAGGACGGCCGCACGCTTGCAGACTACAACATCCAGAAGGAGTCCACGCTGCACCTTGTGCTGCGCCTGCGCGGTGGATGTTAGTCTCCTGTTGTTAATTGGAACTTTCAGTTTCCGTGGCATTTCTAATTGGAGTGCGAGTTTTTTTTTCATTTGAGTTAATAATGGCTCCCATTTTTGTTGGTGGTGTTGAAGGCTGGTGCTGTGGAGTTGTAAAGCTATTTTTTTCTCTTTGTGGGTTGTGGACTCATTAATATAGAGTGTCAAGGAGAGTTTTGTCTGCTTTATTTCCTCTGTTGTGTTGTATTTTACTTATTTTGCGGTCAATGAGCAGCCTTAACTGGTGTGTGTTATATATGCGTGCGCTGTATTTATGCTTTCTTCTTTTTTTTTTTGTTTGTGTGTGCTTTTGCTTTTTTTCCACTGTAACTCTTATGCGTTCGACTGGTGAACTGGTGCGGATGACGTTTTTGGTTTTCCTGCTTGTTTTTTCGTGACGATGGTGTGAGATTCTTGTGTGCCTTTTTTTTTTCTTTTCCATTTTGCATTTTTGTCGCTTCTTTGACCGGCCGCCGTCCAGTAGGTGCGGTGGTCGCCAAGGCGTCGCAGGGTTTGCGTCTCGGGGAGAGCGGTGTGTACACTTTTTTTTTATCGGCCACCTTGAGAGCGTCTGGGAGGTGTGTGTGTGTGCTGGAGGGGAGGGGAGGGGAGCAGAAGACCCGGGAAGCAGAGACACGAGGAGGGGGAGTGGGGAATAAAAATGGCGGTGGGCGGTGGGGCCGCACATGCGCATAACGAGGAGGCGGCGTCGCGCCAGGGCGATCGCCCACCGTTTGAGCGGATCCCAATGCCATCCATGGCGACGGAAGAGTTTGGGGAAAACCTGCCCGCGTTTGATAATGGGAAGCTCATGCCGTCGCCCCGTGGAATCTTTGATCGCTTCTCTCGGGTGCTTCAACTTCAGTACGGACAAGATCCCGACATTCCAATTTTGGGAAGTTCTCTTGAAAGAAAGTATGACAGTTGGTTTGACTACATCACGAGCCCGATTTCACCAATGCGACCGCGAACTTACGTGGACGCATACACCCGGCCAAACCCATGCCCGGAGGAGTATTGGGCGGCGTCATGGCGCTGGCCACGGACAAAATATGTGAACGCCAAAGTGTCTCCTCCTGTAGACGGTAAATATAACGATTATTATCACTATCTGGCCTATAAAAATTGGTTTGAACGAGAACGTGATGTATATGTGGCCCACGCCAACCTGGTCAACGAAATGACAATGCGCTGTATGGTGAAAGAGGGGCAGTACAATGCTGCAAAAAACTGTCGCCACCTTTACAATAAGGGGTTTGCCATGTCTCGAATGGAGGAGCTTAACCAGACACTATTATACATGGCGATTACGGGAAATGCGGCCATTCGGGAGACCCCTTACCCGGAGAACTTTGTTGAGGAGAAGCGAAAAATTTATGATGACTGGTTGTTCCGCACACGCATGAAGAAGCCGGGTGATGTAGTGTAAGGATAGCTGTAGTAGTGGTAGTTAGCGTTTTTTTTCCTTTGGGGTCTCTGGATGGGGGCGTGGGGAATAGAGGGGGAATGCATGTGCGTGTGTGTGCGTGGGCTTGGGGTTATATATATATATATATATATATATTTTTTTTTTTCTTAGAGGATAGGCGAGAAGCGGATCTCTTGCCATGTGTTGGTTTTTCTCTCTGTATGAAGTGAAGGACCTGTCTGTGCCGAGCATATCGACCATGTTCAGCGGAACTATTTTATCGCTGGAGAAAGTTGTGGCGCTTCTGTGGTTGGCATGTGCTGGTGTTGAAAGAGTAGAGGCGTGGGTCGAAGCGAAGAAGAAAAAACAAAAAAAGAAGGAAAACAAAAACAGTGACACGAGGCCCTGCTCTTTTTTTTTTTTTTTTTTCCTTCTCTCTGTCTGTATGTACTTTGTGTGCATGAATGCCCATTCTTTTTTTCCCTCCCTCTCTCTCTCTCTCTCTCTCTCTCTCTCCCACGGACCGAGGTTTATTTCCCCCTTAACATCCCTGTTGTTTGTTCTCTACGCAAAATCGGTGGTAGCAACAATAAAGGTGTCGTGGAGGCAGGATGGATGCACTGGAGGTGGTGAGGCGGGAAGATGGAGACGAGGAGGATGATAACGAAGTGACGCTGCAGGAGTGCATGCGCATTCACAAACTTGCTCGTTCTGTGGATGAACTTGTTGCGTGGAGTTTCATTATGGGAGAGAAGGAGATGATTCTGCAGGAGCTGGAGAACGTTGTGACGCAGACCGAGCAGGAACTGGAGAAGGCGGAGAAGGCATTGAAGTACCAGCATCGGCGTTGCGCCCTTATTCCGGATGATATATACATGAGCAGCGAAAGACGAGATCAACGGCCTCATGCGGCAAGAGGCGAAGATCGTGAGCTCAGCGCGCTGTGGGCGGAGCATGGAAGCTCATTAACGCAGCAGTACGAGCGGCACTTAGCGAGGTACAAACGGCTGTGGCACGAGTTATTGGAGGAACCGAAGGTGACGGCGGAAAATATCGAGTGACGATGTAAAGTGAAGGAGTATTTGTGTGCTCGCTCACATTTTCCCTCTTTGCGTATCGAAAATCGCCGGTGCAATTTGAAGTCTTGCGATGAAGGCGCCTATTCGTTGGGTCTTTTCATCTCTGTTGGGCATTATTGCACTCCATCGGTATACCCTCCTTCTTTCTTTTTCTCTCTCGCTCTCAGTGAAAGAAAGAGACGTGTGGTCTTTTCTGTTGTTGTTGTTTTTGTTGTTTCCGCCATTGTAAGTGATTTTTACGGCAAGGCAGCTCTGTGCGCTTCTTTTTATTTTTTTTTTTTTAAATTGGGACCGCGACAGCATCGCTGCGTCCTCGCCTGTACTCCCCTTCACTCCCACCTGGGTCTCACTTTCTCTTTTTTTTTTTGTTATGCGGGGTAGCGGGAGAAAGTCGGTGGAAGGCTCACATTTGGTTTTTGTGTGCGTTTTTTTTTTTTTTTTTTTGTGGTGGTTGCCGGGACGACGCCTATTCTTCCACCACCGTATGAGCGTCGACCCTCTTCTCCCAGCCAGCGAAGAGAGGCAGGAGCTGGAGCGTCTGCTCAAGGAGAACAGGAAGCTTCGTGAGGCCAACGCCTTGCTGCGTGTTTCGGCGGATACGAAGAGAGCCAGCGCTAATAACGGCAGTGCAAAGAATGCCTCCGCGACGGCCGAAGAGGTGAAGGATAATACCGGTCCTTCAGACGAGTCGGTAGACGTTAATGCGTCGTCCAAAGCGGCGAACGTGAAAAGATTGAAGGAGGACTTGCAGCACTGTAGGAAGGAATTGGAGCAGGCCCTGCACGAACAAAAGGAAGCTAAGGAAGAGTATAAGCAGCTAAAGTCCATATTTGAGTCGTTTGTGGTGGAGTCATGTGAGCGGGAAGAAGCCTGCAAGCTGCTCTTTGCCAGGGTCTATGAGGAGGTTGAGGAGCAGAAAAAACTTTGCGAGGGGTTGCAACGGCAGTTGCAGGAGCGTCGACCGGCTGTCGTCGCACCGCAGGTAGCCACGCCTGCTGCTGCGGTTGTTGGCATGGATCCTTCTTCGCTCTATGATCTTGTTGACAACCTTCGCTCCTCACTTAGCGAGTTGGAGCATCGCTTGGGGTACAGCGGGGATGCTGGCAGTCGTCACACCGCACCGGCTGCCGGTGTTGCTGCATCACGCGTAGCAAGAGAGAAAGCAAGGTCAACTGTGGTGGTTGGCACGACGCTAAGGGGAGACACACACCGCCAGACGCAGGAGGTGCTTGGCCATCATCATTCGCAGGAGGCCGAAAGTGCGGTGCGACTGGTGGTGCCGGCGAAAGGCGCAGGGGCACTGCGTGCCACTGCAATGCCAGGATCACAAAGCACAACGACGGAGCGTAAGAAGCGTGGACGAAAGAAGCTGAGCGAAATAGAGACGGTGAAACGGCACGCAGGTGAGTTTGTATCGGAAGCCAGTGCCGCGTCACTCTTTAAGGGTTTTACGCCCGTCATGGCGAAGCAAAAGGGTCTGGTGGTGAATTTTGGCCAGGAACCCATAGCTGACTATTTGGGTCTTTTAGAGAAAACAGACTTGGGTAACGTTGATGTACTTCGGCGTGAACTGATGAATTTCTGTGGCACAGATGTGAATACTCTCGCATCGTACGCAGTCGAGCATTTCCTTAGCAAGTCTTTGCTAAAGGCTCCATTAGTAACCCTTTGGAAAAACACGGAGCGGGTGATGCACATTGGTAAGGATGTATTTTCTGCCTTTATGAAACAGGCAGTGCGGAAGTTGGTGCGTCTTCTTGGTCCTGAATGTGCCGCGGAAATCGATCATACTCCACAACTGCGTTGCTTGGCACTTGTTGTGCGTATGGCATGTGCTATAAGTCTGCGGGACACGGCTCAGGGTGGGGATGCATTCTTTGTGACCTTTTACGAGTGCACCGTGAGTGCACTACGCAGCTGGCGTCTTGGAAGCTCGGCGGGCGAGCAGCGTCACGTGCTTGGTCCGTGGATGGTTGTTGTGCAGCACCTGTGCGGGTTTGTGGAGGAAATTCACGAGATCGTACGTTACTATGCGAACTCAGAGCGTGTGCTTGAAGAACTGACAATCCCCAACTCCCTCACGCGTTATGCCGTGCAGGCGATTATGGCATCTTGCTACTTTACCTCCTCGCCGCAGTCTCCCGTGGCACCTTTGGGCTCCGATGCACATGCAGACATGGACATGTGGATCAATTTTTGCGATGCCATGGACTGGAGTCACAACGAGTTGCCGTTGAAAATGATAGAGTCCGCCGCGGCAAAAATTCTTGCCCACTCCAAAGATGTGCTTAAACGCGGAGAGGCTCTTCTGTCCCTTAGACTGCTGGTGCTTCAGAAGGGTCTTGGGCTTCTCCAGACTCTCACGGAGGAGCTTCGGTTCTCTGGTGATGAGGTCGACGTTGACGCTGCATTTGCAGAGTTGTTTAGCCTCGCTGTGATTGACCTGCAGCTGGAGGATCCACGTGACGAGCAGTGGGGCCGCGCCATGGCATTCTTCGCCGAATACCTGAGTGCAAACTCAGTGGAACAGTCAAAATCTAACGAGGAGCTTCTTGCCGCGTGTAAAGGCACGCATTTGTTGGTTCTACGAGCCATGTTGCAGCTGTGCCATGGCGCGGGCAGCGCCATATCGGAGGAGAGCGTCGAGCAACTCGCGAAGGCTCTTCAATGGGCGAAGGCCCTTCATGTTGGTCTGGAGCGCTCCACGCGCGAAAAGAAAACCTCTGTGTTGGTTCATCCTTTTCAGAGCACACTGCTGGGGCAGCAACTGCGCTACCTTTGCTCTCAGGAGCTGTAGCCATGGAAAACCAGTACCCCAAAGCATGCAAACACGCACATACACACGAAAAGGCAGCGACAAAAAAGAAACGTGCACGTTTGCCCGTATTAGTGTTGTTTGATGTTTAAATGTTTTTTTTTTTTTTGGTTCTGTTCTCTTGTGCCTTTTTTTTTTTTTTTTGTGCTTGCTTCTGCTGCTGTGGGCGTGTGATATTCACGGCGTTTTCTCTCTTTTTTTCCATATATATATATATTCTCCTGTTCTTTGCGTCCTGCAAAAAGTGGAGCGAGCCCTTCGGGAACACAGCCAAGATGGTTCTGCTGACGGTAAAGGGCACGATGTTCCCTGATGAATTTACTTTTGAATGCACGGCCTCAACGTCCATTTCCCCGGAGTTGGCGCGCCAGTTGTGCCACATCCAGAACGCCCGTCATCAGGTGAAGCTGCAGCTGCTCTCTGCCCGTGAACTGCTGGAGGAGGCAAGGCGGAAGCGGGGGTTGGACGCCTTCGGTTCAACCGACGACGCCCTTACTTCCTACGGAGGCCTCATTGAGGAGGTATCCACACGCCTGAAGGACAAAAATAAACCAGTCACGTTGGAGGAGTTCGACCATGACGCGGAGAAACTGCGTGAAATGACAGAGAAACTTTTTCCGGAGGAGTGTTCTCTTTCCGAGGGAGGCCGAGACGCGGCTGTCGAGCGACTTTACGCGCTACACGACAACCCCGACATTGACGAAGACTACCGGCTTGTTGTTTACCACTGCCGTGCCATTCTTGACAAGCGGTGGAAGCAGCAGGAGCTTCAGCGGGAGGACGAGGCCGGGTTGTGGTTTTGCGGCAAACTGATGGAAGGCACCATCTCGAAGTATAGCGGGCGAAACGAGAAGAGTCGCCTCACGGTGAAGGTCCATCCAAAGGACGGGGCGGCGCCTAGTATAGAGCCGCGGATGAGTTATGATGACCAGCGTGCCCTCTTTGAGAGGATGCGTCAGCGACGCGAGGAGTACAAGACTCTTGAAGAGTCTGAGTTGCGGGAAAAAGTGTTGGCTCAGTCACGGGGCAGGGTTGTCTTGGATGTCGCGTCTGTCTCAGGGGGAGTGCGAGTGGACATGTCGCGGCTGCGGCCCATTTGCCCTCGGAAGGAAGAAAACGACGTCACGTAATATTGAGCCGGCTGTCAGTTCACCGCTTAGATGCAAAAAAGACTGCGTGGAATGATGGTGTGTGTGAATTGGGCGTGATGGGCACCGGGTGTCGGCGTCGTCGTCACTGCCCCGTTTCTCCAGAGGTGAAGTGAGGAATCCAATAGAGCCGCCATAAGACTGTAATATTTGCGTGGGCCAGTCATTTTTCCCTCTTTCTCTCTCTATATATATTTTCCTGTGGTGTGTGTGTGTGTGTGTGTGTGTGTGTGTGTGTGTGTGTTTTAAACGAAATAAAAGTTGTCAGCACATCAAACACCACCAAAAAGTAAAAACAACAACACATTAGGAGGGTACACACGAGGTGAGATTGGCCTTCACGCAGCCACTTTCGTCATGAATTCTCTCAAGAGCGCCATGAAAGAGTTGCAGGCGACGGCTGCTCAGCTTGCGGAGTCACGTGGGCTGCAACCCGACGAGCTACCATGTCACAAGGACGCCCTGCTGATTCTCGCAGCGGCGGCACTAAAAAATATTGAGAAGGACGAGAACATATTCTTGTCATCATCCGAAATTGTAGCCGCTGCAAAGAGCGCGAGACATATGCTGCGCCCATACCTTCCTTGCCTGCTGCGAGAGGAGGGGAAGGGGGAGATGCGGGCTGACAAAAAGAGGGGGCGAGTAAATGCTCACGACAACAATAGTGACGACGACGAGAATGAGGATCTTGGGCAGTACTCGCACACAAAAGTATTTGACGGCAATGCGAAGAAACGTGCCAAGTTTGCCCGTCTAATGGGTGGCGGGAAGGGAGAAGGATCGCATCACAATACTTTTGCGGCCGACGCCAGTACAATTAAACGCATCAACGGTGAGCTCGAGGATCAGTTTAACACGGCTCTTTCCCGGCTCGGTAAAAAGGGACTTGGCGCGTAACTTTCATAGTAAACATCCGCAGCAACAGCAGGAACGATAATGGCGATGGCGAGAGAAGGGAGTCTTGTCGATCACTTCAGCGGTTAGGGCAGTGCACGTGAAAAACAAAAACAACAACAACAACAACAACAGGTCATTGACTGTGAAAAACCACTTTTCCACCGCTTCCTCGTTATCCCTTCCCTCCTTCTTTTGTACCACCTTTAATCACCGGGTTAAAATGGGTAACAACAATAATTCAGGAGAATAAAGAACCTGTTCAATACATGTTTTTTTATAATGTTTCTGACTAAGGTCCTTGCACAAATATTTTACCCTTTTCTTTTCTTTCATTTGTTTTCCCATCTTAAATACCGCGTAACGATAGGCTCACTCACTGCCTCCGGCGACCCTACGACGAATGATGATGATGTCGACTGTGCGGCGCCGTGTGGCGTGCTTCCTGCTGGTCCTTGCGCTCTTGTGCAGCAGCAACAGCTGGTGCTCATCTGCGTTGGCGAGGGAAGTTTATGTACCGGTGGAGGTGGCATGTGGATTGAACAATGGAAATTTGCGTTGGCGTCTTCCTAGTGGGAGTACTTGGTTTGAATGTGTACACACAGAAGTACTTTTTGGCTCTGATATGGGCAAGAGTGGGGAGAGTGAAATTATTTTTTCTTTCTGCCTGGTGGCTCAATCTCTGTACATGGGTGCAGAATGTTCAAAGAGCTGTGATGCAGCTTCATCAGAGAGTGCTGCATTCACAATGAGCGTTTCGATTGAAGATGAAACTGCGATTTCCACGAAATGGTAGCAAGAAACCAAAACCGTCGACTTTTCTCATGAAGAAGGTGAAATAAATGCCAGCTCAGGCATTTGTTCGTTAAGAGCTATTCTCGGCGATAAGGCTGATGAGAACCGTGGAATGCCTGATAACACCGCAGAAACAAAACCTCCAAAAAAAACGACTCCACAAGAACCGACTCCAAAAAAACCGACTCCAAAAAAGCCGAATCCAGAACAGCCACCACCAACAACGCATGAGACGGGGATCCAGAAAGAAATTGATGTACCAACAAATGCTGCAAAAAAAAATTTAACAAATGCCAGTGATGCTTCAAAGCCGACGGAAAAACCCGCTCAATTGACGAAAAAAACTACGAACGGCACTGCCAAGAAAAAGGAAGATATGAAAATAAAAACAGACTTTGGTGAAAGCATTGTGTGGGTGCACATGCTCCTGCTGCTGCTCGTCACAGTCCTTGTCTGTGCCGCTGTGCGGTGATTAGGATTAGTTATACGCGTCCTTGCGGGGACGGCTCGTAGTGTATGTGTGTTTCTTTTTTTCTTTTGCTTTTGTTAATTGCTGCAACCCATGGGCCAACTTCCCAACTGTCATGACGTTTGTTTACTCTTAATTTTTCCTTTTATGTTTTTTTCAATTTAATCCGTAGATATTTGCGGTTTTTTACCCCTGATGGGTAATTACACACAAAACAAATTCCTATAACCATACACACGATAAAAACAATAAGTAGCACTCTTGTTTTCCCACAAATGGACAAGGTGCGATTTTTGTCTTGTATTATGGTAAATGCTTTTGCTTTTTTGTCGAATGGTATGTGCGGGTCAAAATGCAACCATTCCTGCCACCTCCCTTCTCTCTGTGTGCCGTCTCTATCCGCTGCACTCCCTTCTTCTCTTGACACTCTCTTTTTTATTTTGCTGCCTCATAGATCAGCTGACTGACTCCAGCGACTCTACGACGAATGATGATGATGGCGACTGTGCGGCGCGGTGTGGCGTGCTACATGCTGGTCCTTGCGCTCTTGTGCAGCAGCTGCTGCATGTCCGTCCGCGGGGCTGCTGCTTCGGGCGTGGAAACTACCGCTGCGCTGCAAAAAACATGGACGGATGTGGAGGTGTCGTGTTTGGGGACTGACGGTAGGTTGAGTTGGCGTCCCTCCGGCGAGAATGATTGGCGAAGGTGCGCGAAGAAGCCCGGAGAATACGAGAGCGTCACGGATGACTGTGCACGGCTGTGCGATGACGCTGGAGAATTCTACAAGTGGAATATCACCGGGCAATGCCCTCCTGAGGGTGCTGAGAGGGATTTTGCCTTCACGATGCGATTTGCGACGTACGGGAATATACAAAACTGCACTTCGGCGCCGGCAGAAAACCGTCCTCAGCTGGGCGCTGGCGATGCGCAACCAGGCCAGTCGCAATCGCAGGCCGGGGCCGCGGCTGCACCGAAAACGGCGGGTGATGGCCTGAAACGGAGCGGCGTCAGCGGTTCGCCGGCAAAGGCAGCTGCGACACCACAGAATAAGCCGCCTGACCACACAGACAAGGGCAGGGTTCCTTCAAAGGCGAGCGAAAACGCCGCCGCCACTGCGTGGGTGCGCATGCCCCTGCTGCTGCTCGTCACCGTCCTTGTCTGTGCCGGTGTGCGGTGATTAGGATTAGTCATACGCGTCCTTGCGGGGACGGCTCGTAGTGTATGTGTGTTTCTTTTTTTCTTTTGCTTTTGCTTTGTCACCCCACGCACATCCTCATGGGTGACGCACCCTCCCCCTCCTGTTTGCTTCTGTTACCCACACGCGGTGCCGGCCTCGTGAGTGCGCGTCTCATGGATCAGTCCAATGAGAGACGGGGCCGAGAGCACCATGAACCACAAGTGTGATGTGCGGATGTGAGTGTGACCATATAATCAATCAATTTTTGTTGTTGTTGTTCGGGCAAAGATGATAGATACACGCGGCCAAATAACAAAGGATATTTTTTGAGTTTTTATTTTGTTTGCTTTTTTGTGTTTCGTGTGGGGCCTTCATTCTTTCTGTTTTCTTTGCCTTTTTCTGATGCTTTGGCCCTCTCGCAGCTGGTTGGGCTCCTGTGCCGCAGCCTCCGCCCCGTCTGTGGCCCAGCTGTCGAACTCCTCTTATGGATTTGTGCTGGCATGCCTTTCATTTTTTTAAATTTTTGCTTTGGGTGCGGATAGCAAGACATAGGCACAAATGCACTGTTAGGACGCTGCGGCGGCACCGCTCCCCTCGACGATGCCGGTGCTGCGTGCGGCTGCTGTCTCCCTCCGCGGCCCTGGGGAGGGGGAGATGGGGGCCACGGAGAGACTGCACTGCGGTCTCCCCCCTCCCCTGCGTGTGCGTGGGGCGCGGCGTGGGTGCCCCGTCATGGGTGGCTGGGGGTCTGCTTCGGCGTTGGACTGGTGGTGCGGGTGCTTGCCCGGACGCGTTGTGCTGGCTGCTGGTGTGTGGCCATATGCGGGGCGGCGAGAATGAACTGGAGGAGACGGTGGTGGTGGTGGGTCTCCTCTTGTCCGTGGTGGGTGTCTGCTTGCGTCGTGTGCGCTTCGTGTGAGGACGCGGTCTCCTGCTCTGCGAGCTCGGTGTGCTGGGCTGCCGCCTCCCTTCTCTCTTTGTGCCGTCTCTATCCGCTGAACTCCCTCCTTCTCTTGACTCTCTCTTTTTTATTTTGCTGCCTCATAGATCAGCTGACTGACTCCAGCGACTCTACGACGAATGATGATGATGGCGACTGTGCGGCGCCGTGTGGCGTGCTACCTGCTGGTCCTTGCGCTCTTGTGCAGCAGCAGCTGCATGTCCGTCCGCGGGGCTGCTGCTTCGGGCGTGGAAACTACCGCTGCGCTGCAAAAAACATGGACGGATGTGGAGGTGTCGTGCTTGGGGACTGACGGTAGGTTGAGTTGGCGTCCCTCCGGCGAGAAGGATTGGCGAAGGTGTGCGAAGAAGCCTGGAGAATACGAGAGCGTCACGGATGACTGCGCACGGCTGTGCGATGACGCTGGAGAATTCTACACGTCGAATATCACCGGGCGTTGCCCTCCTGAGGGTGCTGGGAAGGATTTTGCCCTCACGATGCGATTTGCGACGTACGGGAATATACAAAACTGCACTTCGGCGCCGGCAGAAAATCGTCCTCAGTTGGGCGCTGGCGATGCGCAACCAGGCCAGTCGCAACCACAGGCCGGAGCCGCGGCTGCACCGAAAACAGCGGGTGATGATGACCTGAGACGGAGCGGCGTTAGCGGTCCGCCGGGAAAGGCAGCCGCGACACCACAGAATAAGCCGCCTGACCACACAGACAAGGTCAGGGTTCCTTCAAGGCCGAGCGAAAACGCCGCCGCCACTGCGTGGGTGCGCATGCCCCTGCTGCTGCTCCTCACCGTCCTTGTCTGTGCCGCTGTGCGGTGATTAGGATTAGTCATACACGTCCTTGCGGGGACGGCTCGTAGTGTATGTGTGTTTCTTTTTTTTTCTTTTGCTTTTGCTTTGTCACCCCACGCACATCCTCATGGGTGACGCACCCTCCCCCTCCTGTTTGCTTCTGTTACCCACACGCGGTGCCGGCCTCGTGAGTGCGCGTCTCATGGATCAGTCCAATGAGAGACGGGGCCGAGGGCACCATGAACCACAAGTGTGATGTGCGGATGTGAGTGTGACCATATAATCAATCAATCTTTTGTTGTTGTTGTTCGGGCAAATATGATAGAAACACGCGGCCAAATAACAAAGGATATTTTTTGAGTTTTTATTTTGTTTGATTTTTGTGTTTCGTGTGGGGCCTTCATTCTTTCTGTTTTCTTTGCCCTCTTTCTGATGCTTTGGCCCTCTCGCAGCTGGTTGGGCTCCTGTGCCGCAGCCACCGCCCCGTCTGTGGCCCAGCTGTCGAACTCCTCTTGTGGATTTGTGCTGGCATGCCTTTCATTTTTTTATTTTTGCTTTGGGTGCGGATAGCAAGACATAGGCACAGATGCACTGTTAGGACGCTGCGGCGGCACCGCTTCCCTCGACGATGCCGGTGCTGCGTGCGGCTGCTGCCTCCCTCCGCGGCCCTGGGGAGGGGGGGATGGGGGCCACGGAGAGACTGCACTGCGGTCTCCCCCCTCCCATGCGTGTGCGTGGGGCGCGGCGTGGGTGCCCCGTCATGGGTGGCTGGGGGTCTGCTTCGGCGTTGGACTGGTGGTGCGTGTGCTTGCCCGG